CTCGTTTCCTCAGACACAACAGTCAACAGAATCATAAATAGTGGGCCGAGCTCAGACCACTGGTCAGCGTACCAGACTGTGAGTTTAAGGTTCTGAAGTTCGTGTTCCTTAGTGAAAAAAAAAAACACTTTGGGGCTATGGGTGTATTACAAGAGTGAAGGTCATATCCCTCTACTCGGTCTGACAAAAGTAGCCCCGTGGGTGATGTTTACCAGCTGCCATTTTTCAAGTCTGTTACTAACAAATTATGGGAGGCTAGCTCTCGTCTGACTTTGCGCAAAATTTGAAACAAACAAGCAATTTTCTCTATATAGAAGAAGAGTTTATTGTTTGTTTTTAATTATGCACAAAGCTACACAAGGGCTATCTGTGGTCTGCCCACCACGGGTATCGAAATCCAGATTCTAGCGTTGTAAGTCCGCAGACATGAAGGGGTTTATAGTAAGGTATTGTTGACTAAATTACTAACACTATATATTCTCGTAGTTAATTTCTGCACTAAATTCTAGGTTCGAATTGGCTTTTGAAATGTTGTCATGAATTTATTTCAATTAGATTACAAATGGTTTCTTTGGTAAATTAATGATAACGATTTTTTGTCTTCTAATAATACAAAAAAATCATTTTCTTCGCGCTTTTGATGGAATACCTTATTAAGATAACAATTTTTTATTGATATTTGTCCCTGTTATTAATATTTTTATGACTTATAAATCAGATGATATCGAAAATCATGCGTAACTTCGATTTACTGACGTCACAAGGTTTGTCTAGTGTTAAAATATGTTGTAGTTTTTAAAGTCGTTTATGTTTGTTTGTAGTTAAGCGCAAAGCTACAAAATGGGCTATCTGTGCTCTGCCCACCTCGAGTATCGAAACCCGGTTTCTACCGTTGTAAGTTCGCAGACATATTGCTATAACACTGGGGGGGGGGGCGTATATGACACGCGGAGTCGTCATAAAACACAAATCTAAAATTCTACAAAAATGTTCAAAGATGGAACTGGAGTTTTCAACCTGAATGACATGCGCACTTGGGTTAAACGGCTCGATCCTAGGTTACCCGTGTTAATTTTGAACTATACTGACTAGAGGGACAGCGGCTAGCAGCGCTTGCCGCTGCAAGGGCTTTTTTCCGACTTCTTGAATCAAATAAGGAGATTGACTGTCACTTTGATAACGTGTTCAAAATTTAAAATGTGGAGTCTTTTTACGGCATCTAATCTCGAGCCTCAGACTTTTGATCCGATTCTTCAAACACTGAGGTGGAACTTAACCTCAAGCACTTGAAATTCGTGAATGTCTTTAAATAGGCTTAAGACGGACAAAATGATTATTCATGTTTAGCAGTAAATTTTTGAGGATTTGTTAAACAGGATTTTCTGTATTTTAAAATCCTAACACTGTGATTTTTTAATTGACAGTTTGTACCTTTTTTTTTATCCCCTGTGTTGATGAATTTGTTTTTGGTTTAATATCAGGAATTATACCCCCCCCCTCCCAGTTAGATGATAGGGGTCAGTCCAGTTGGACTTTTGTACAAGCATGCTCGGGACTGGGGCCTTAAATTTCAAGCCCTAAATTATCTCTGTGAGGTTACTCTGAGACATTGAATTTGCCTGAATTAGACAAAGGTTGTGAAAATGTTACTGCGTCAGATATTTTACACTCCATATATGTGTAAACTTACTTATTGTCTAGCTTGTTTGTTTTTAAATAGTGTGTAAACAAATGTCTGTCTGTTTGTTTAATTTCACGCAAAGCTATTCAAGGGCTATTAGTGGTAGCTGTCCCTAATTTAGAAGTGAGAGACTAGAGAGAAGGCAACTAATCAACGCCACCCACCGATTGTAAGTTGAGTATCAAAACCACCAGAACAATTGTGTGACATTGTTATTGTTTTGTACCCCTTAATACCCCAAGTGAAATAAATAAAAAATGAGAGTCTGAAACTGACCTTTAAGTGTTAGGGAATTTCTTATATTTTACATAATTTTTAGACATTTTATACGTACAGTCACGGGTAATTTGACTGAATTTGAAATATGAATTTTAATGGAAATTGTGAAATTTGTTTGTCTTCAACCTAGCTTTGCACATTTTAAAACAAGAGCAAGTTGTTTGTTTTTCCGCAGTGGATACTTGTCTCAAGCATTTCGATAAGGTGGTTCCTTCTACTATCTTGTATCTGAATACATGGACAGTTTGTACTACATTAACAGCAATTTTGGATCGATACACAACAGTTATTATTTTTTACGATAAGTTCTTGCTTAACAAATATTTCAGCGTTTGGAAACACTCAAACAGGATGTTAATCATGAAAGACAAAGGCTAGGTGACGATCACACATCGAAAAATAGGTCAACCTTCACAATTTCCTACATAACAAGACTGTAATCTGAATTTTCCCTCTCAAACTTCCTAAGGTCAATCTATGAGAAGACAAATTTACAAGCAAAGAAACTATTGAAATTACACATCTAAAAGCTTCACAGCCTGTAAACACGTAAAGAATATTTATCAAACAGCTTACTTGATACGGTGCTGCCCCAAGTGTTTTTTTTTCCTGGACTTCACTAAATGTTATAATATAACAAGGGCTGATCGTGAACTGCAACAATAAATTTCACAGTACTGAGTTGCTGTGTTGTCTCTGAGCCAGAAATGCATAAGCTCTTATCTCGTCCTCCAGATACAAACAAATACATATATATATATTACACACTGCGTTGGGCTTACTTCATTTATGTGAGCTGTTTGTCTTCTGCCGGATTAAGCTAGAGCACGTGAGATGTGTGAGCGCACGCACATACACACAATAATAAACCTGAGGCCATCTAACTGTGCAAAGGAAAGTAGCAACCGTTTTTCGTCGTTAAACTACCGCAGTTGTCTAGCGTTCGAAATTTTCGAGCAATCTGTCATGGTCACGTGACGAACAATACATACTGAAGCGATACGCAATTACGTCATGTAACTATGGGTTATGATTGGCTATCTGGTACTAAAGTGCGGGTCGATGAAAACGAGAGCAGCTCTTTTTATAAATACATTTTTTTTTGACGTTTAAATAGTTGTGAATGTAGTAAAGTCACCGTAAAGATATTGTGATTTTTCTTATGTATTTTTCTTTGGTTTACCCCTGCTGAAAATTAGTAACTGAGTAAAATCAAAAGAAAATTGCAAACTAGAATAAATAATTTTCTAACCTATACGGAAAACTATAAAAAAATTCTCGCAATACGTGCATATTCGAATTTTTCATTGGTTCTGTGATAATAGACCAGTAGCAGTAATTGTTTAGTTTTTGTTTGCGTTTTTTTTAGAGCAAAGCTACACAATGGGCTATGTGCGCTCTGCCCACCACAGGTAATCGAAACTCCGAACTTTTTTTTATTGTTTATCTCTAAACTTACCGCGCTTACCCACTGGGGGAGGGCTATGGTTGAGCTTTGGATATCGGATCTGGCAATTAGGGTTAGAACTCGAGCAATACCACAAAATATTCCCACACGTTAAGTTGTGGGTACATTATAAACATGGCAGTCAATCCTTTAGCGTATGGGGGTGGTGGTGGTAGGATGATGCTGATTGGCTACCTTCCTTCTGGTCAATAGCTCAAAAGTAGGGACGGCGACAGATAGCTCCAGTTTCTGCCATAATACCAATATATTTCATCAATACATTCTATTTTATTGGTTTGTACTTATTGAACATAGTTAATATTTTTCTTGTAGGTGGTTTATTCATCCTATTTTCGTAATTATAAAATATTGTCTTAAGGTAAACATTTCAAAGTTTCGAGTTTGTTTTCCTAGTAAAATAAGCTCCACTCACCGTTAATAGAAATATACATTATATCTGTTTGAGCTTTGATCCCAAGTTTGATCTATTAATCACATATTCGAGCTTTATTTCCCCTTTCAACTCAAAATATAAGCCTTTCATGAGGGCATTCATATCGATCTGAAAACCCACATATGACGTTGCTTCAAATATTCAATAAATTTCATAGTCATATCTAAATATGTGGCTGGAGGGCCCAAACTCTTCTTTCTAAATAGTTATTAAAATACAAATGTAACTAAAAAATAATACTTTTACAAATTTTGAATTCAAATAACCCGAATTTATAGTTATCTAAAGTATATATCATCTTACTGCTGGTTTGTTAATTTCCGGTAGAAATTCTTTCCGATGAACTTCAGCGATACAAGTCCTTTCTTGATTAAACCAGTCTATTCTTTCTCAATGCAAACTTCTATTGCACAATAATTCCACAGTCAGGTCGTTTCTTGTCACTTTAAACTTAACAACGTCTATAATAATCGCTATAAATCACAGCGATTCACAATCTCGATAACTTCGCTTTCTACGAGTGCAAAACACACACTAGCTCGAAACAGAATAGTAAATTACACGAAACTCACCATAACTACTGTTCGCTTTATCATCCTCTGGCTTTTCTGTGCTAGGCTTATATACTAACGAAGAGGCATCTCCAAAATTCGCGGACTTCCCCGATAATTCAAGAAACTCAGTCACGCATGCTCCAGCAGCGTCACGTGAGTTCCGCTGTCGTAACAGTACATATAAATCTAAAAGTGTTTAAAATATACCCCATCCCCACGTCAGGGCTGTCATTATTATTTAAAATACAAGGGAAGGTTTCAAAATAGGGAAAGGGTCTGGGGGTTCTCCCCAAACACGAGTCAATAGGGCAGCGCCCTTTCTCAGGGGTTCAAGGGTAAAGCCCTTAATTAACCAAGATTCAATTTTAAGCAATTTCAGGACAGCTAATTCTTGTTTGTGGGGCTAAATATAAAACATTTTACGACATCTAAGCCTTGTCTTTGGAACAATATTAAAGTAAAAAAAAACAACTTATTTCAAAATTAATCCATATGGTTCTCTTCGATATTTCCCATACATGTGATACGAGTAATTGTAATAAAACGATCATATGAAGAACTATATAGTATATTTGGATTATCATGTTTCGATTACCAATGGAAAACTTAAGCACAGCGCCCCCTACGGGCATGAACCCATTACACCATTCCTTTGAATAAGGTTTGTTTTTTGAATTTTGCGCAAAGCTACACGAGGGCTATCTGCGCTAGCCGTCCCTAATTTAGCAGTGTAAGACTATAGGGAAGGTAGCTAGTCATCACCACCCACAGCCAACTCTTTTACCAACGAATAGTGGGATTGACCGTCACATTATAACGCCCCCACGGCTGAAAGGGCGAGCCTGTTTGATGGGACGGGGATTCGAACCCGCGACCCGCAGAGTACGAGTCAGTCGAGCGCCCTAACCACCTGGCCTTGAATAAGATCCTCCAAACAGTTGGACAAGACAGGAAATTTCAACAGAAGAGCAAGCTTGGTCCAGCTTCATTTATGGCAATGGTTCTCAAACGTTTCAGGCTCACGTACCACTTTTTGTTTATTTTTTTAAAATCACAAACTTAGGCCTAATAAAAAAAAAGATTAACAAAAATTCGTATTTTTAACATTTACCCATTAATGCGAAGGATGCGATTGTTTTTTCTGGCATGATTAAAGAATATAATACCATTTTTGTCAATTTTAAGGGAAGAAAATACTGGTGAGTCTTTGTAGAGGGTGAGTCTATAAGTGAGTAACATGAATATGTACGTGGAAAGCTCAGATATGATTTATTATAAATTTTATGATTTTTTTATATTAATAGTGTCCTGTACCACCGACATCAGCTCCAAATTCCACCAGTGGTACGCGCACCACAAGTTTGAGAATGGTAATGAAATCTTACTTGCTCTATGAAGAACATTTAAAACAATACAATTAGATTATGGTCTATAGACGTGTACACTTTTTCTTCCGTTGTAGAATGTCCATTCGTTGTACAATTCGAGTGGTCAGTCGTGGAAACCTTTACTGTTTGAAATTCAGTGGGGATCTACATATATCATTTTTATGAGAATAATTTTTTATTCTATAAAGACTTGCATTATTTTGTTATATTTGTATTAGAAAATTCAAGTAAGAAAAAATAGGATAATTTAACATTTGTTCAATCGCAGACGAAAATTTAACAGCCGGTTTCCGAATTGAAAATTTAACGAAATATTTTATGTTTCTTCGCAAGTAACCAACGATCGTTATTTTGATCATTTACTTCAAATATTTTAGAATATCACCTTCAAACTTCTTTTTTAAAGTTCGTCTCAGAAAAACTTTCACAACCTGCACACAAAAAAATCGTTTATAATATGTTCCCAAATCAAGAATAAATGTAAAACTAAAGGAGTAAACGAATTAATCAATAACGCAGCCGTTGACCCGATGAGAATTTGTTATAAATAGCACACGGAGAAACCTATACTATTGTTGATTTTCGTCACGAACGAGTTAGTAAGTAAGATTATATTTAAATATAAATTAGTGATGAAGTTATAAATTGTATAAACCTAGCAATTCCTTTTGTAAAAAAAAAAAAAAAAAAACGACCGGGTCCGGATGCATATTTTACTGGGAGAAATCCCCAACCCTCCTGGCATTTTGACAGCACTGCAATACACGGTCATCTACCCAACTTTTAGTCCAGCACACTGAAATTTTTTTCCCCCCTCAAAGTTGCTTGATAAGATTATAGTTATCTTACCCATTCTATTCATTAAGTTTGTTTGTAATTAAGTTTCTAGCGCAAGTCCGCAGACATTCTGCTGTGCCACTGGGAGGGGGGGCCTATTCATTCAAATTAATTGAAGTTTTCTCAATACTTTTGTGAATGTGATCACGACAAAGTTTTTATCAGTCTCTGTCTAGGTAGTCTCAATGAAATGTTTTTAGTTAGAGTCAGTAGACATACATTTTTGAGCTTTTTTTGTTCAAAGTAAATTATTAAGTACCATGTTATGAGTGTTTTCATTTTGAAATTGTTAGCTAGAACTAATAAATATGTGACATACAAGGACTTTTTGAGATTATTTATCTTTAACAGCATCATCTGCAATGCATTTTTTATCCACCAATGCTTGCGAGTACGTACATTTTAACAACTTGAACTACTACATTCTTCCCCTCTCACAAACACGAACTGCCCTCGGGTTTTATCTCAGAGTCGATGAATGAATCACAAGTTGAATGCCAGTTTACCTGTGTTAAGCCCTTGTTTTTACATTTCTTAGGCTAGGATTTAAACTCGAAAACTACTAAAGCTAGCCCCTTAGTACTTGCTAATAAAACTATTTTTAACCATTGAAGCTAACATAACTGTAGTCTAAGTTCCATATTTTGTATATGAAATAAGCATAATTCACTCTCAAAGATTAAAAAGGGGATTTTTATTTCTATATGCTACATATATATATATCTTTACTCTAAAAAACGATAAGCAAGTGACGTATTTATTTATTTATTTATCTGTAAGACCATGATAAATTCAATTAATCAAAAACATTAATATTCTTTATCTTAGATTATAAAATGATTGATTGATATTGTTGAACAAAGAACATTAAATTGACGAAATTTCTGATGTATTGTAAATAGGGTTGGATAAGGCCTAAAGGTTAGAGTCCCAGGGTGCAGATCTGAAGGTCCAAGGTTCGGGCCACAATATGTTGTTGAAAATTCTCTACGCTTGCAACTGTGGGGAGTCATAACCGTGAGTTATTAATCTCTTTGTTTTAGAGTAGTCGAGTAGGCGGCGGGTGTTGCTGACTGGTTGCCATTCATCTGATTAGTAATTCTAAATTATGTACGACTGTACCTGAATCCTGTGGTCTCTGACCTTAGCGTTTAGCCTGTGTATTGCATAAGGTGCTGTTCTGGTGGGAAATACCACATAGATGAATTCTACTTTTCTTATATAAAATGTTCGTATTTCTTTTCTTTTTTAATTCATGTCGGTGG